CTGGATGGAATTCACCCCATGGTAATAAAGAATTGCGCTCAAAGTTTAGCCAACGTAATATGTCTCATCTTCAATAAAACTATAGCGACAGGTGAAGTGCCCAAAATATGGAAACGCATGAAAGTAATACCAATTCATAAGTCTGGACATCGAACATCCATCAAACAGTATCGTCCCATTTCAATTCCATCATGCTTAGCAAAAATACTCGATAAAATCATGACCAAACGTCTGAATAAGTCTCTCGAAAACAAAATCACAATACATCAACACGGATTCGTTAAGAGAAGAAATACCAGCACAAACGTTCTAGAACTTACACAACACGGATTTAAAGCGTTCGAAGATAACAAACAAATTGATGTTTTCTATGCAGATTTTTCTAAAGCCTTCGATAAAGTGCAACACTCTAAACTTATAAAAAAGTTAGCTGCATTGGGAGTCAGTAAACAAATGCTGAAATGGCAATGGTCATTTTTAAAGGATAGGACGCAAATTACAAAATTAGGTAATGGACTTTCGTCCGAAAGACCGATTACTTCAGGAATAATCCAAGGGGGCCATCAATCGCCAATATGCTTTGCCGCTTTCATAAACGACTTGCCGGGAAAAATTAACGAAGCAATAACTGAAAGCTTTGCAGACGACACGAAAATATTTAAACAAATAAACAATATGAACGATGCACACTCACTTCAAACATCAATTAATGAGTTCACGGTATGGTGCAATGAAAATGAGCTCGAAATCAATGAAAGTAAATGCTACATAATGACCCTTTCGAGGAAAACAAGTACAATTGATTATAGATACACACTAAACAACAAAGAAATAACTAAAGTCAGCGAACATAGAGATTTAGGCATAGTAATTGATAGTAAACTTACAATGATACCACATATCGATAGACAAGTGAGTAAAGCAAAAAGCATGCTAGTGCTTATAACACGCCTGAGCAGTGGCATTTTCAACCAAGAAACCATGAGAACGCTCTATATGAGTCTGGTACGCTCCCATTTGGACTACGCTAGCATAGTCTACAATCCAGGATGTTCAACTCATTCCAACAGAATCGAATCGATTCAAAAACAATTTCTAATACGCGCACAACAAAATGAAATAAGAACCGAAGATCACCGCCTTAGACCATACAAAGAAAGATGCGAAGACATGAGACTAACAAGCTTACATCGACGACGAATCGAAAGTGGAATAATTTTCATATATGACTTGATCACAAAAAACATTGACTCCCCAACACTAAATGATCGAATAAAACACAGAGAATTACCAAACTATAATTTAAGAAGAAGAAACTTACTAGACAACCCTTTCTTGATAATGTATCGTAACTTTAACAAAATAAGTGATATATTTACGAGCTGTTCTTCACGTAATGAATTTATATCAAAAATCAAAAAAATACCTGACAACATTTTTGAAAATTAAAAATGTGATACCATGTATATAATTATATACTAAACTAGTCTATAAGTATATGTATTCAGTCCTGAAGGGCGTAGAAATGAATAAATAAATAAATAAATTAGCTTAGTGATGGCAGTATCAAGACTATTTTTCGATATAACTCTCTCTGACAATGTTTTGATAATTTTTGGCCGGCCTCGCTTCACATTCATCTGTTTTTCATTTATATACTGCAGATAGACTTCAGGGTGTTTCTATAAATAAGAAAATGCATTAAATTGAAGAGTTGAACAAATATAGCACAATAATTTTACTTGCACACTAATGAAAATAGAAAATATCGTTTTTTAAAATCAGTTTTTTTTCTAACCTTCAAGTGTGTAATGAAATTGGACGATGTATTTTTTGTTGCACAATACACAAGTTTACAGGTCATGCACTTTGCTTTAGTAACAGATGCATTCTTCAACAGGATATCAAAATATTTCCCAGAAAGTAACAACGATTTTTGACTATCACGACCACTTATATGTGTCTGTGTCAAATCATTCAAAAATGGCTCATTTCCACTGATTACGTCATCACATTGTAAATCTTCGAAATTGTTTCCCTCAAAGTGATCATTTTTAAATGCTTGACGCCTTTCTTGGGTTATTTGGACATTTGACGAGTCGAATATGGGAAGATCTTCTATCAATGAGTCATTTATTAACGATGAATTCATATCGATACGATTTGGCACAGTATTTTCCTTGTTGCTCAAGTCAATTGAACCATTTGAATCATTCCCGGCGTTTTCATGTCTGTTTGGCAGTAAATTTGATCGTTTTTTAACTATCTCAAGGTTTTCATCTTGAACGGCAACATCCCATGAATCGAATCCTACTTTGAATGGGCTCAGCTGAAACGAGATTTTGTTGTTTAAAAGCATTCATTAAATAATTTTTTGAGATTTCTCATGAAGAACAGAGTAAACATACCTTTTTGTCCAACTTTTCGGCTTTTCGCTTCAGCGATGCCAACGATTGAGCCGAAATAGTTTTTATTGAATGTACAGGCACTAATTTTAATATTTTATTCGGTTTTTTCTGTTTATTTTTATCCATTTTGATCACGATTTAATTTTTTGTACATGAAAACGATAAGTTGTTGACTGAAATATGATTTTGCTTTGCGTATAATGTCGCAAAGAATGTTGAAACGTCATGCTCGTATTTTCATCTGTCAAGTAAAGCCTCGTTCACACGGATCGGCAAAATCATAGAACAATCGATTCATCGGATGATTTAAATCATAATCATGGGTATGATTGTTGATTGTTTTAATCAAAAAATAATAAATCGATTTTTTTGTCTGATTGTATAATAGGGTGTAGCATTTTTCAAACATTTTAACGGCGAGGGTTATAACCTTGGCTATGGGATCCTCTGATCACGAATCAGGCGTTTTTTTGCGAAAAAAATATAAACTGATATGTCACGGCTCAACGGCGAAGTATCAAAAATGGGAAAAATTTGGATTTTTTTGAATTTTTGTGTAAGGCATAAAAATACACTATACTTTCAGTATTGCTTATTTTTATGCTTAAATCATCAGAACAGGACCCAAATAACATATTCTAGTAGAAAAATTCATTTAAATTCAAAAATGGATACCTTTACCATGGAACAACATTTCATTGAACATTTACAAAAATCCTGATATTCAAAACTATTCACTTCTGAACACAAATTTATGAATATTAAAGGTTTCCTGATCCGGAATGATCAATAATTGTCTGAAAGTAACATGGAAATTAATGTGTGCAAAGTATTCCATGCAACCGGCTAAGCCTATGAAGAGACAAAATGCGAATTCCCGTCATCTGTGCCATCTTGTATTCCATAGTTGAACTTTAGGGGACATTCGTAGCAATTCTAGTAAGCTAGTTTTATTTACGTATTCGCTAATCGCTTACTAGTATTACTAGTGAGTACACTAGTGCTTCTAGTAGCTGCTAGTTTTTCTAGTGTTTTGAAATTACCTAGACGTATCTTATGATACATAAAAGAAACAACAGTAATGCTTAAGTCGCTTGTAAACGAACCAAGTGAATAGCGGAGACGCACGATAACGAAGTGAGTGTATTGCGGCAACGGATAACAACGTTCGTTGTCGCTATTCAATATATTTTACATGCCTCAATTCATTTGCTTTGAACTATAATACGCTAGTGCTTGCTAGTCGCTGCTAGTTGCTGCTAGTTTCACTAGTTTTTCTAGTATGAATGTCCCCTAGGTTGAACTCAATTTAGTTACAATGAATTGAATCGAAAAAGAGAAAAAAACAACAACAGTAACATGGCTACATAGATCTGTTGACCAGTGAGATACGTATAACAATGGAATGAAAGAATGAAGAAAGCGTATATGTGTATGTATGCATCAGCACGCATAGATGTACAGCTCTGTGTGGCCGTGCTATTGTTGTTGTTTTTTCTCTTTTTCGATTCAATTCATTGTAACTAAATTTCAATGCTACAGAATTAAATTCAGTTTTTCGATCTAATTCGAACTAATGTGAGGTGGCGCTGATCAGCTGCGTTCGCATAAAAAAGTTCCCAATCTCGTATACGCCAACCCCGCTTGATTCCATGTCATAAATTCATTTTTGGTACCAAATGGAGACATTAAAGGAAAAATACAGAAAAATGACAAAAATTATAATATATTCGCCACTTTCTAGAATAAAAAGGCCAAAACTCTTCCGCATCTGAACTTTTCATGTATTTTACTCAATTTGTGACATTGCAGCATCAATAACTTCTGATCTTTAGTCAAAGTGCAGTATAGTTTACTATCCGAGTGGATCACATTGTCATATCAATGAATGGAATGGGATCCTCTAGGGGATTCCGACTTATACGATGTTCCATATGCGAAAGAATTTGTCATATATATTTTGCAAATGGTCGCGAATGTTTCATACAAATTTTGCGAATGGTGTCGGATGTTTCATACAAATTTGCGGACGGTGTAAAATGTTTCATACACATTTTGCTGATGGCGCACATGAAAAGTCATATTTTTACATTCAAAAAGTCAAAGTGACAGATTATGTGACAGAGATTCAAGCCGAATTGATATTTTTTTGGTAATATAGAGTGAAATTTTTCTAAAGTGGTAAAGAAATCTTTGCCACTCGTAATATAATCACTGTAAACGGTGCCTTGTGAAAGGTTTTTATTTTCATTGACGTAACTTTCAATTTCTTTTATATTTATATTATCTGAATTTATTTCTAAAATCTCACTTTTCGAATCGCATACGGCTTCTAAAATAATCTTGTATTTTTTTCTTCAACAGTTTTTCAAATTTAGTTGAGAACAATGACATTGTGTTTGAAACTGCCACGACAAACTGAACACAGCAATGTGTATGTACAAATGTCACACGACAGTTTGTCGCATCTCGCAAGACGTATGCGGCATTCGCGAATGGTTGCGAATGAAATGTACGAATTTTCATAGATTTTGATGCGGATGGATATATACTTTACTTCCTATATTTCATGTATGAATAGGAAAATGTTCATACATTCCGTATAAAATGGCATTCGCATATACTAAAATGCCCCTAGGGGATCCTGTACCTCTAAAACTTGAAAGCTCTTGCAGCATTCGCCTTACTGGTTATGATTGTGTCACTTAAATCCCATTATCATCCTGAAAGTGTATATTCCTTATAAACAGTACGTATACAGACGTTTTGATTGAAAAGAATTGAAAATTGTGATTAAAATGCAAAAAAATTGAATTTTCCACAAAAAAATTGGAAAATTCATTATAAAGACTTGTTTAACTACACAAAATGTCTTCAAAATTATTGTGCTACCGAATTGTAAGAATTATACAGGCATATCGGATATTTCACGGCAATATGGATGTTTAAAATTCGTAAATACATACCTTTTTTGTATATATACGTATATTTCGATGAGGTCACCACTTGGTACCGAAAATGAATTTCTGATATGAATTACTGCTGTGTTAGAAAGCTTAAATATTGCACACATCATTTTCAGACAATTGTTGATCATTCCGGATCACAGAACCTTCAATTTACGTTCAGAAATGAATCATTTGAAAATTGGAATTTTTGTGATTTTTCGGATGAATTCGATGAATTGTCACTTCATGGTGAAGGTACCATTTTTTAACTTTGCATGGATTTTTTTCTTTTGCAATGTGTTATTTGGGTTCTGTTCTGATATTTTAAGCATAAAAATAAGCAATACTGAAAGTATAGTGTATTTTTATGCCTTACACAAAAATTCAAAAAATTTCAAAAAAATCCAAATTTTTACCATTTTTGATATTTCTCCGTTGAGCCGTGACATCTCAGTTTATATTTTTTTTGCAAAAAAACGACCGATTCGTGATCAGGGGATCCCATAGCCAAGGTTATTACCCTCGCCGTATTTGTTTTTCACTTTTTTCATATTTCTGATACACCCTATTGTATAATCAAAAGTGCATTATGATTTAATTAAAAAGTTTGATTGTATGATTTTTCATGCTCTGCATTGTTATGTGTTTGAAACTAATTTGTTTATATTAAAATGCATTTTTTTCATATAGAATCGACTGATGCCAAAAAATTGAACATTCTTTACGTTATTTGAGAGAGCAATGTAAATACTTGTGAAGAGCGACAAACGAAGAGAAATAAAAAGAAACAACATATTGTGCTCGACTTTTATCTTTATATTGATTTTTTTGTATAAATTCTCAATGGAATTCCACCATCGCAAGCAACTGTTGAGCGGGCGTTTTCGTCATTGGCCAATGTTTACTCATATTCACGTTGCAGTTTGTCTACAGATTTGCTCTCCGATATTCTACAAATCAAATTGAATGGGACAATTATGAAATCTATTTTTATGGAGGAGCGATTAGAATTGGAAATAGACTTTTATGCAAATGTTGTCGAAGATGTTTTGACACCGTTGCCTTCCGAAGAATAAATAAATAAACAATAATCCAGTCGTCCACCGTTGTTATGTTATTTTTTTATAATTTGTTTATGTTTTTTCAGTACAATCACTTCTTACAGTATAGTATGATAGCAATTTAGGTAGCTTTTTCTTCGAAAGAGAGAAGTGAAAACTGAGAGAAAAAAACATTGGTGAATTTTAACATTGATTGTTTCTTATATCGCATATTTCACACACGCGCGAACTGCCGTCCGGTACCATATCCGAACGCATAACGACAGTGCTTGCGTTGCGTTTGCGGCGTATGATGTACATTGAATGATGCATGCATCATTCAATCTACAGCATAAATGTATATGATCCTGAACGCTTGGTAAGAATAATTGCGATCATTACCACGATTTCTATTTTGATGTTGAGAAAATCGAAAAATTTGCTTTTCTTTCATGTCATTGGCATTTTCTACAACAAATTTAGCAACAACTTCTTCTGGAGTTGAAAATGTAGACGAAGCGAGTACAGAACGTACAAGATTTGATTTTGCTGTTTGTCTGCACATTTCAACTGTTTTTTCAACGGCCATAGTTTTTGCTTTAGCTTGTGAAATTCCTTCCACAATTGGGCTACGTTGTAAATCTTCAGCAAGTTTTTCTGCTTGTTTTGTGAAATCGGTGTTTTTATTATTTTCGAGTTTCAAAGCCATCATTTTACCCTCAATTACTTTTGAACTTTCAACGCGTCAGTAATTTCATCAATATTCGCGGGGTCTTGGGATACACTTTCACGTGCTTCACCAGTTAACTTTGTGAGTATAAATGTTTTCAATATATCAAGATGTGTGGGACCAATTTGTTTAAGCAATTTTATGGAATCAATAAAAGCAGTGAGTTCTAGTGGGTTATCCGAATAATTACTATTAATTTGTCTAGCGGCAAATGACAAAAAAGTGGATTGGTCCATAATGTTTCTATTAGTTCTATTACTATTGCTATTTCTTAAATTATTTGAACCTGAAGTTGATGCCGTTGTTGTCGTTCCTGTTTGATTGTTGTCGTCTGATGTGATCAGTTGATTTTCAGCTTCGTTATTCGATGAGATCGCTACTAGAGTTTGGTCGATTGCGTGGTCATTTGATGCTTCTTCACGATTTTGGTCTCCTCCCGAAGCGCTATTGTCCGTTGCTGAAACTTCGTTATCCTCTCCAGAGCTCAAATTAATGGTCTTGTTTAATTCGTCTTCTGCGGATTCTATGTTTGCCAAAAGTTCTGCTGGAAACTTATTGCTGATTTTCAAAACGTCGTAGCACTTTTGTAGTTCTACCTTCGCGACTTTAATCTCACTGTCAAATTTAACGTTTTGTTGCGCGCTCAAGGTGTTATAATATTTGCCAATACAATTTATATATATATTATATCTTTGAATTATTGTTTCTTTATATTCTTTGTTGCGTCGTTCACTTATTCGTTGACCGATTACTTTTTTTGTTTCGTTAATATACTCATTTAAATATTTTCCGTGGGTTTTTACATCATATGTTGACATTGTTTTACTTTAATTCAAACATTTTTTACTGGATTTTCACACTTATTTTTGTCACACATTTTTACAAAAATCCTTATCACGAATATTTAAAAAAATTTAAGTTTTAACGCAAAAATGGATATATATTTTATTTCGAAGAGATTGATGGTTCTTTAGCCGCGACTCGCCATGTAATATATGGGATGTATATGATAAAGTAAAAAGAAACGCTCTGGTTGAGTTTGATGTTATAACTAACTTTATTTTGTATATTACTTCGGTATATATGGTATAGAATATTAGAGAATATTACATTTATTGTTAGTTGACGGTTGGTATACTTTGGTCGTATCTTTGATGTTATTCGTCGTTGTTCTTACCTTTGACCAGAGTGCATGTGTTCATACACGCTCCAACATTTGTTGTGATAGGATGAGCAGTATTGAGGAAGACCGTCATAAACTGTTCCATCATAAATGTCGGGTAGCATTGGGACCGTAATTAAGTTATAAGGCATGTGCATTTATGTTGTGAGTTGCTGATGCACGTGTGCGCATGCAGCTAAACAATGTTAGACAGAAACATTGTTACACTCTCATGAGTTCGTTTGGGACACTCAATTTCATGCGTTACACGTTGACAGTTAGTTTTTATCAATGTATATAAATTTAACGCCATACAGTTCAACTCGGTAATTACAATCAAGCTCTTTGTAAATTTCAGTACAAGGATAAAAAATCCAAAAGGCCACATTGAAACACTATCAGAAAACCTCTTTTAGATTTCAAATCATCACAAAACGTTGCAAATCTACAGGAATTTCTCCAAATATATGATCTAGGTAGATTTTGAGTCATTCCAATGAAAATAGAGGATTCCTCTAGAACAAACTTTTCATTTTTGACTCAATATTGACAATTTTCTTTCAACCGGTAAATGCCGTTTTTCAAATAAAAAAAACTTGGACGTGCAGACCCCAGAACGAGGAAAAACTCTGCACAGTAATCAGCATGGCTCAGTAATCTGTGGACACAGCCCTATCAAGCTATGATATCCGTTGCTATGGTCGTTACTCGAACTATTGAAATTATTTAAATTTTCTGGTTTTTAACGATTTTTAAAAGATGTTACCTGGATTAGTTACAGCAATGAAACGACAACAACAATAACACATATTTTTACTGTCAAAATTTTGATGTCAAATGGTGTCGACATTGGTGACGGTATTTTGAAACAGACTTTGTAATCCATATTCATCGTATATGATCCTATGTAAAGTTCTATACTTGATCTAGTTCACATTCACGGTTCAAATCGTTTATGTCCACTAGCGAGGACATGGACTGTGTGTTTCTTCTGTTACATGTACGTTGTAATGGACAAGTATAGTAACATGGCGTCGTTCAAATAAATTTAAAAATCCGTCCACTCGTGTCGACACCATCTAGCACGGTAGTAGGGATTTCATTGCTGTGGGATTAGTAAATCTGTATAATTTGGCCATTTGAAGGTTTATAAAGACTAAAATGGTCTTAATTGATGAAATAAGATCAATTTGAGCGTAGAAATGTTAAAATCCAACCAAAATTGTTATTTCTAAAAATCACATTTTTTGCGATATTTTTTGAAAAAGTTCTCTTCACTCTCGTTCAAGTCGCCACCCTATATGACATATAACCCCATCAAAAAAAGGCTGTTTTGGAATCAGCTCATGCTTATACAACTACTCTGGGCTGTAGAGCCAAATCGAGAAAAATTCATCCACCCTAATATATATATTTTTTAAGGATTTTTATAAATTTTTACTTATTTAAAAGACTTTTTTTTCTTCTAAGGCACTACTGTTCACGATATGGCAATGTTTTTACGATTTGATAAAACCACCCATAAATACTCGGTGATTCATTTCAACCCCAATGCTGTGGAAACCTCGTGCGTTGCAAAGGAGTTTTATAAGCTAGTGAAACCAATCGAAATCAATGGAACTCACGCTAAAAATTTTAATGTTGACCATCAATGTACCATTTATAGCTGGGAGCAAATAATAGATTGTTTCCAGTGATGGTTTTTTCCTATCTGAATAGCGCTAGCTATTCGCAGCGTCTGAACAGCATTGCTGCCCAGATGCTGAATCGAAGCGGTTGCGCACGCGTTTTGTATCACACAACATATTGTCATATAGTCTAAGTAACCAGTGAGCTCACAGAGTATGATACACTAATACCATAGTCAGT